TAGTAGGTAGTAGTAGGTAGTAGTAGGTAGTAGTAGGTAGTAGTAGGGTAGGTAGTAGGTAGTAGGTAGTACGTAGTAGGTAGTAGGTAGTAGTAGGTAGTAGGTAGTAGGTAGTAGGTAGTAGTAGTCACAACAAGTTTAAACAAGCACAAAGAAAAGGCCAGGGACACAGGATCAGATCAATAGGGGGTAGTAGTGCAGATTATTGATGGGGGACCGGCCCTTGTGAGGGGTACCCTTTGTGAGCTTGTCAAATGATTGTTGTTAATTGTTTTTAAAACGGCAATTTATAGGCCCTGAGCCCTAGACATTTTTAAGGATTTCATCAAACATGTAGTAGGTAGTAGGTGGTGATGGTGGTGGTGGTGGTCGTGGTAGTAGCACGTAGCAGTAGCAGTAGCAGTAGAAGTAGCAGTAGCAGCAGCAGCAGCAGAGCAGCAGCAGCAGCAGCAGCACCAATAGCAGCAGCACCAATAGCAGCAGCAGCAGCAGGAGTAGTAGTAGTAGTAGCAGTAGTAGCAGCAGCAGCAGTAGTAGTAGTAGTAATACGAAAAATTGACCTGGTTGTAGGCTCGGATTAACTGGGGGGGGGTTGTTGGTAGAAAATTAGACAATAGGGGGGGAAATCAACAGCGAATAATACTTTTAATTTCGGCAATTTCCGGCGGCTTTGTGGGCTCGGACTAACTAGGGGAGGTTTATTAATCCTGACTTTTCATTACTCAAGTACTCAAGCTAGTTTGGGGTTTTGAAGTTTGGCTTTCAACATACCGACACTTAAGTAACTATTCTTTTTTCTCGTGTCTTTTGCCTCTGCATGCTCTCTCTCAGCCGTGTTGGCTTGCGAACAACGTGGGGAGGCTCGTTTGCTGAGCTCTACTTCCACATGGTTTCAACAGTGCTTGGGCCGAACTGCGCGTTCTTAGTGATGGCGTTTGCCTTGCAATTGCTGCAAAAAAGACGTCCCCCTTTCCTCCACATTTTGTGGCTACGGTGTCCTTGCCACTCCGGGTTCGCCTGCCACTCACAATCCCAGCAAGTCGACTGCGCCAACTCCTCTAGTTTCTCGCTCGCTGCATGCCGCAAACGCTGCATGCCGCAAAATGCGGCCATTGCATCTGGTGCAAACAATGTAGTTTGTCTGCATGACAAACTGGTGCTCAGTCATCTGAGGGTGCGTTCCCTGCAGGAGACTTTGGATCAGCTCTGTCTTGGTCTGGGTTGTTGCCTGGGCTCCACCTGTGAGTTCCACCGTGGCCTGTCCTGGGCAATCTTCCTCATGGATTTGCTGCAGAGCGGCAACTGTGAGATGCTTTGTGATGCGTTTGTTGCACCACTGGCATTGGAGCCCACGAGGCTTCGGTAGCCATTTGTGCTCTGGTCCTTGCGGGCTTTGGCTTCTTGCCTATTCTTCTTGCCTGACTCTTTGGCTTGGTGGAGATAGTGGTCTTTTGTCTCAAACAAATGCCGGATCCTCTGAATTGCAAGCATTGCAACCCGGCCATACCTGTGGTCAGTGAGCCTGAGCCCTTCCTCTTCACTTTCTGGCCTCTTGGACATGGCTATTTCTTTTGCAACCTTATTCGCATCTCTCATTCTTGCCTTGACTGTGTAAGGCCCTGGCGGCATCTCTTTGAGCTGCTGCTGGCCGAATCCGGCTTCTCTGATCATGTGTCACCAAAGCTTGCAAGCCGTGGAAGGTCTCGGCGTGTTTGCCATGAACCCAAGGTCACCGCGTTGATCTTGGCAAAGCATATCAAATAACCAATGAGGACCGGTTGATCTTGGATCTGCCAAATTGCTCCCCATTGTTCCAACCTTTTCGCCATTCTTTGTTCTCTAGCCACCTCTTGGAAAGGCCGCAAAAAAGGCAGTTCATCTTTCTTCAAAGTGCGGAAAAGCCCTCTGCAGCCCGCTTGTGATGCCTGGGTGAGCCATTGTCTGTATTCTTCTGTTTCTCGCTGGAAGCTTTCTGCTTGGTGAAGTTCTCTTTGCATTTGGGCACAATTCAGAAGGACATGAATGTGCTCGTCACCGTGTTGATGCCAAAGCATATCAAATAACATGCGGAAACCCTGACATGACACTTGCGGCATGTCGAACCAATGCTCTTCCAGTTTCCACCCAAGTTTCTGCAGCTGGGTTTGATGGATGGCCTCCCGGTGATCTTGATGCAACAGCTGCTGCAAACGGAGCTCTATCTGGTTCCAGTATGCAAGGCTTCCTTTCTTCCAGAACCAGCTTTGCTAGCATCATGGATAGGTCGCTGGACATACTGCAAAGTCAGCCCTCTTCCTCCACTAGGGGAATCCAGCTGTTGCAAAACATACCGTTCAATGCGATGATACATCGAACCCATCTGCGGTGTCAAAGGATCTGCATGCTGGTTGAGCCAGTTGACATGTACTTCTTGCGGTTCGATTTGGTGCCATGTTCTATCCGGCTTCTCCAATTTGGGCGCCGGCCCAAACTTGGTGAGCTGTTGGACGGATTTGGCCTCAAAATGGCCTCTCAAATGGTACTGCAGCATGGCATGTGGCTTGAAAGGGACACACCAGTTCGTCTGTACCTCCAGATCTGCTGCTAGTTGGACTGATACTAGAGCCCAATCCAGTTCGCTGCCCGTGTTGCATGTTTCTTCACCTGTAGCAATGACCTGGACAGGCATGTGCTGCCCCAGTGTAGTGGTCATGAAATTCTCCGGCGTGATGTTGAAATCACCCATGATGACCACTGGTTTATTGAGGCTTGTGACAAAGGCCGTTAAACTGGCCCATAATTCAGCATTTGTTTGACCCTGGATGCCATCTCCACATTTGAAGTGGGCCATGACCATCACTAATTCACAGCTCTCAAATGTCCAGCTGACCGCATACCAGCCACACCCTTCAAGGGTCTTCTTCTGCACGTAGTGAAAATGCTGATTTTGCGGAAACAAAAGCATCATGCCTCCATCGGTGCCTCCCTTGACACTTTCTGCTGCTGGTTCTCCAAGGACACCGTATCCCCTTGCAGTCATCCATTGCAGCGTCTTGACATGATCCTCTGCCCCCAAATGTGTTTCCACCATAAGCGTAGGTTGTCGTGGTTTGCTGAGCAACCACTGTCTCACTGATTGACCCATGGTCGTGATGTTGGCAAAATCAAAGCGTAGGCCTTCACTGCAACGTCTCTTGCTGTCTGGTTCAATCTCAGGCTCTTTCTGCTTGATGCACACGTCATGCTGGATGTGCGCCGGCAGTAAGAGTTCGGATGGCACCGCCCACACTTGGACGATCTGCTTTTGAGTTTCAGCTGTTATCTGAGCCACTGCTTTTGGGAATGCCCCATCGTCAACAATCCAACTCATGCCTCTGTACAGGGAAACCGCATAGAAATGACCATGCTGGCGTTCGTTGCCTGAATGGCAAAGATAGCCAACGACAGAGTTTTGTTTGGTGCGAGTTGAATTGCCGTCCAACGTGATGGGCAGGTTGAAAATCGAAGGAACTCTCAGCGGCCTATGGTGTTTGGTCCAACGCCCATCGACCTGCCTATAGCGGCCAATTTGCGCCACCCACAAACCATCTCCATCGAAAACCTGACCCTCCTGCGCATTAGCCATTCTGCGATGAGTTGCTCCAGCTCCTCAGATCCAGACTGGTCTGGGAAAATGAGGTACGTCGGGAACACTTGCCTGTGATGTACTCGTTGGTTGAGGTCAACTAGATGATGCCCCAAAATCACCTCCTTGGAATCAGCCAAATCAACCAGTTCCTGTAGGAAATGAGAGGCATCATTCTGTTGTTCATCATCAAATTTCGTCCACAAAGGCCTGAGCCCTTCCAGCTGTTTGTGTCAACTGGACCACTTCATCTTTGTCTAGGGCCTCAGCTACAGCCTGTGCAGTGCGGTCCCATAGTTTAGGCCCCTCCATGAAACTGCCTGCCCATGACCAAAGCCTGAACGCCGAGTTGGCATAGCACCGATTTCTCGGGTTGCCCAGCCTGCATTGGAGGTTCTGAACCACATAGTGGAACTGCGAGGACCGGGAACTTCATCCATCTGTGGTGATGGTGCTTCACCATCACTAAGCGCCGTGGCGGCCTCCTGGTCACCAGCGCCTCCCCAAAAACCTGGGTATGTCTCAGGTTGGCCTGAGGTTTCTCAGGCTGCCCCATGCCGGCCAAAGTGATGGTGCCCCCGTCCTGGCCTGAGCCAAACGCTGTACATCCATCTGTGTCAACTTCAAAACACCCCTTTTTGCAGTTCCACAGCTTGGATGTATGTGCCCCTAGTGTGTCAGCTTCCACCCTCTGGTGGTTACCCACACTTTCTCCTTTTTGCTGCACTCTCAACAAGCTTTGCCGCCAAATCCTGGACTTGGGCCGAGGTGGCTTGCAATCCAACACTGGCCATTGCAGTGATGAGTGCTTCCGGAGACAATTCCTCTGCCATTTCGTCAGCATCTTTCTGCTTTTCTTGCTCGAGCTGCTGGTTGTACTGCTGTGTCGTCGTTTGCAACTCTTTCTGAGCCACCTCAATCTTCCCTTGCAGCTCTTTCAAATCTTGGAGCAGCTGAGTGTACTGCGCCTTCACTGCATCCGCCTTCACCTGAAGGGACGCCTTCTTTTCTGACAGCTGCTTGAGTGTTCCCACAGCCTGCTTGACTTTGAAGACAAAGTAGGCTCTGGCTTTTCGGGTTCCACGATCTTTTCTACTGCCTCTTTGAGCTCTGCTGGAAGGCTCGAGAGGTGCTCCTTGATGAGGGAGGGGAGATCAGGAGTGGCCGGAGGTTCAACCACCTGGATCCCCATGGCTGTGCACTGGCTTTTGAGGCTGTCAGGAAGCTGGGTTTCAGCGCTTTGTGGGTGCCCTTGTCAAAACCTGGCTTGGTTTTCTTTTTTCTCTGGCCTCCAGTCAAACCTGGTGGTGCGTCAAGCAAGGCCTCCTTGTATGTCTTTTTTGGCCAGCGCTGGCCTGTGCCTGCAAAGTTCCAGCCTGCCCATGTGATCCTTTTCTTTCTCTTTAGATCAGGCACCAAGTCTTGCTGCCACTTTTCTCCGCATTGATTGCAAGCCATGCTAGGCCAGGCCTTTGGGCTCCTCTAGCTCAAAGCGTCCGTGCCGAGGTTCTTGTCCGCTGTGCCCGTTAGGCAAGCGGCTTGATGCTGAAATGGCTTGAGCCACTTAAGTAACTATATATAATACTATAGTTTTATATATATGGGTCCTTTAGAGATAATTCACCAAAACCAAAAGTGTTGATTCTGAGTGTTTCGGAAGTGGTGCCAAGTCATTTCTGAACGCAAAAAGTGTCATGCTGCGCCATGCTCAGGTCCTCACCGCTGGATATCTAACAACTCCTAAATTTTTGCAGATCGCCCAGGGTGCCTTGAGCACCTTCCACAATCGCACCTCGGCCAAAGATTAAGAAAATTTGAAAGAATGAAGCAATGAAGCAGGTGTATTTGCCCTGTTCTTCCAATATATATATAATATACAGTTCTTTCTGGAGATTGGTGGAAGTGAGAGGGAGAGCACGAGAGATGACAGTTCAGAATAGTTCAGACATACGCAAAGAGTATCAATACACTTCTAGTTTGGGTCTTAGTTTATGTGTCATCCCTTGTCACTATGGTCGGTTTTCTTATATATATATAATCACAATCTTATGATGTGTTTTTACAAGCAGGGTTCCGCTGTTTTGGCACAAGTCCTGCCGGTATTGATAGGCGGCAGCTGTGTTGTGTTGTGTTTGTTACTGCTTGTTTCAGGCTGGACGCTGCAGTTTGCCGCTCCAGATGTTGCCCACGCGACTGGAGTCACCATTGGATTTGTGGCAGGTGGAATCGAGGCGACAATGAAGATGAATCGCAGTTTCTTGTCAGCACCAACAATTTGATTTGCAATTCGACCTTAACACATTTTGCTATCGAAAGAATCAATATGGTTTCCTGCATGTTCCTGTGGCGGACTGGGCGAAGGTCAAGGTGGGTGTTGTCGGTTGGTCGGTCGAAATTTGTAAATTTGTTTCGCCAGCACCGATCGTGGGGAACAACTGGTTCGTTGGACCTGAAGCAACAAGCCGCATTCAGAACACATACCCAAAACTAAGTTTCGATGCACAACCGACCGTAGACTCATTAATGTTTGTTGTTTTGTTATTTTTGTGCATGGTTGCCCAGGCTGGTGGCAACTGCAAGGCATAGAGACCTGCTTCTACACTGAAGACATGCACCGAGCCTTGTTGACGCCAAGCCTGACGCTTCTTAAGGCACACAAGTAAGCACTCTCCTATTACCATGCCCGATCTGAATACCTTTTCAAACGGAGACCAGAGCAGAAACAAGTTTCCCTAAAAATCTAGGAACCAAATGAATAGTGAATAGTGCGAGCGCTTCTTCAAGCAAGCTAGCTTGAGCTATCCTGCGTCCTGTCGACAGTAGTTTACTAGTAGCTAGTAGCTACCTAGCTTCTACTAGCTACCTTACTACCTCCCTCTTCTACCAGCCTACCCCCCCGCGCTTCAAGAAACAACAGATGCCGCATATTTTGTGTTTTCTTGTCAGGTCCTGGGATTGACAGTTTCTTCGGAGCCGAGCTCCTCATTACCAAAGATGGCTGCTGCGGAGTTGCCTCAAGTGTCGCGGCAAACTTGCGGCTATGAAGATCAGGAGAATTGCTTAACCTACAAACTGGTTCAAACACGAATGCCTTAAGTGGTTAGCATGCTTGTTGTGCAGTTCGTTGCATGTGTTATGTCTCAAGTTACTGAAGTTTAATCCATGCCACACAAGCCACACTTGTAAGGAGTTCTGGACCGTAAGGGGTTTGGAGCCAGTTTCCGGATTGGCTCCGAAAACGCAGATCAGACTGCCAGACAACTACTTGCAAAAAGCCCTGCCCTAATTGCACCCTAATTTCACAGCTGAGAGTCTCCATTCCAGTTCTCATGAGAAGAAGTGAGGTTCGACACGCGGTTCCACCCCACAACCCAGCGTCGTTGCTCCTAGTAGCGATGCCCTTTGCTCCTAGTATAGGGTCCTTATTACTAGGAGTAAGGCCAGGAGCCCCCAGTAGCGTCCTTGCTCCTAGTAGCGTCCTTCCGCCAGGAATTCCAGCTTCTTGAGACTGAGAGGACCAATTTCCAAACGGTTCAGGTAACGAGAGCCTTGAGCTTTGCGGGCGATTCGGAGTGCGTGACGCTGTTCTTGGAGCCTTGGCCGGTCCACCTAATTGACGGGTAGCATCGACTAGGTGCAAACATTTGACAAACTGTCGATGCCATTGGAAGGCAATGTTGTTGTGGCCTTGGAGACACTGAGGATGGTGAACTCCAACTCACTGACGTCTACGGAGATGTTTACCACGAAGCCTTGGTTCATGTGACTTGTTGTGAAAAAAAAACTTGATGACCTAGAAGTGCACGGTGCAATCGAAGACGGCAAGGGACACGACGTGCACAAAAATCAGAAATATTATTGAGTCCTTACGCAGGAGACTGTCCATTTGCATCATGAGCGTGCAATTGGCAAAAGCAATCACAAAACTTGGCTTGGCCAATTCATAGGACCCAAACAATGTAAACATGAATCACCTTTCTCAAGTGTTCGCGAGCTGTTTGACTTGATCTCCTTTCTACCGTTGCTCGCCCAGGTCATGATGGCCTCTCTTGGCCCCAGCCCCTTGCGAAAGGTGCTGGTTTTGGGTGGAGGAGATGGTGGAGTGGCGACAGTGGCTTTGAAGTACCCAATGGTTGAGCTCCTCCAGGCGTGCAGAGAGGGGCTTGGAGCATTCTGGAACCAACGCGATCTATACATTATATATAAGGTTGATTGCATGCAATGGTTTTGGCTTATCATAGTTTAAGTTTACTATTCTTGCCAAGAAGCAATAATGTGCATAATGACAACTTTGCTGGCTTGCCAAAGCTGTAGCTTCCATTCTGGTGCAAAATTAGAGGTCACCTGATGTAGACTAGATACAACACTTGAGGGACTCGCATTAGTGACTAGAACCGTGGCCTTTATTTGTTTTCTACTCATCCGAGTTTGGCTCGTGCGCTGAGTGAGATTCTTGCAGACTGCACTGTGTGGCCTGGATGAGACACATCAAATTGTCAATAGCATTGAAGCGTGCAACATCGCTTTGGTGTTTGCAGGTCGAGATTGATGAGAGGGTCATCCAGATGTCCAAGCGATTCTTTCCACACTTTTCGGCAGCCTTCACGGATCAGCGCCATAAGTTAGTGGTGGGTGACGCAGTACGCTGGGTTGAGGATCACGCTCATGAGATGACACTAGACTGCACTGTGTCATGACTCCACCACCCATCAGCTTCAGCCAACTTGCACGAGCCTCCAATTTGTACACTGTTCTTGGTTCTGCCGCCCATTCCTTGACAAGGCAGAGTACCTTCGACCTTTGCATTATTGATTCCACCGATGAACCATTGGCACCTTGCTTGCAGACTGAAGCTGAAAGTTTCAATTGCAACGGCCGCATCATGCAAATACGATCTATATGCAAGTCTGCAAATGTCCCAACTCCACGCCTCCAGTACCCGTGTTTCCGTGTTTGGCTTCTGGTATGATTGGCATTGGAGGTTGTTTTGGTGGGAAGCTGAGGAAAGTGTTTGGAGCATATCCTTCTACCAGAGACTAAAGTCGATGCTGACACCTCATGGGGCCATCGTCCAGAATCTTGAAAAGGATTGATACTGATGTGGGTAAAGTCATTCAGAAGCTGCGGATGCTACAAGAGAATGCCTTTGCAAGCCAGAAGAGTTTTGCGCTTCAGTCACAATGCAAAAAGCATCCCGAAACGATTGACAGTATATATATATATATATTATATATCAGACAGTTTTTGCAGCCGTTGGTAAGGAACATTGGCAGCCAGACTGACCTCTTGGCTGACTTCCGTTCTTTGCACCAGCCAGTGTTTCAGAAGCGCTACCTGATCAATTGCTTGACGGGCGAGGGCTCATATTCATGCCAAGTCAATGGAGCAAAAAGGAATCATCGGCCCAGCCTCATTTCATATGATATGCCGGTTCGTCGACGCTTGCCATTTCAAGCCTTGCCTTGCACTCATATCTCGAAGGACTCCGGATTATGAGTCACCGTACTTCTTGTCGATCCTTGCGGACACGGACCTGAAACAAGCAACTTGGGCAGCAGACCAATACGCTATTATTGTTTGGCTATACTGGCGACACTGGTGCCCTTCCAAAAGCAACTGAGAAGTGGTTTCAGACGCTCACTTTTACGGTTTTGAACTTTTGGGGTTGCAACATTTGGGGACAAGGGGGGTGTTAGCCCCACTTTCAACACTTGCAAGCTAAGGCCAACGGGGGGTTGGAATGGTTTCGTTCGTGTGGGTAGTAGAAGAGGGTGATGAATTGTTGGTGGAACGAAGAGGAGGCTTGACGAAGAAGTTTGCAGAAGAATTTGCTTCATACTTCATTGTCTTGGTCCTTAGGAAATTGAAGACGATCCAGCAAGGGCTGCAAAAAGCAACAGATTTGACACCGACACCTGGATCATGATGCTGCAGGGCTAACCTCTCCTGGATCCAACATGTTGCGTCTACCGGAATCGTAGTAGAACGGAAACCTCACCAGGCAAGCACGAGGATGCAATTGCTTCACCCCTGTTCCTTATTATTAACAAGAAGCTACTAGGTGGAGGCCATCGCTACTAGGGTGGAGGCCATCGCTAGTTGGAGGCCATGGCTATTAGGTTGGAGGCCATGGCTACTATATAGCACAGCGACTAGAAGCTATTGCTGGCAGGTGAATTGGAGCTGGTGGTCGTCACTGAACATCTCCACGACTCACTACCATCCAAGCCTGCATGAGACCTTGCTTGCAATCCCTCGAGAATCCTTGAATTTCTATATTGATGGCCAAGATCCTTGGCCAACATAATAAGAGTATGGCTTTTGGATGCTTTTGGATGCTTTTGGTGTCACCCAGCTGGCCACTGGTTGAGGATATGTTGTGGCAGTTCTTAAATGTTTTTAATAATCCCATCAACGTATTAAGAAACATACCCTCCCCCCCAATACAAAGGTTTCCTCAGGTTCCTGGGAATGTGTTCAATACCGACAAGTCCACTGGGACAATGTTGCACTCGTATCAAGACGTTGATTGCATTGATTCTTCTCCTTTAAGGATTCCGAAAGCACCAAAATTGCAAATACCTGGGAAGAACTTCAAAATCGAAAGTTGCCCCTCACAAGTTTGGTATGAAGTCCTTTACTCGCGTCACAGATTGAGAAACATCCAAATTGGAGGCAGAAATTCCTTTACAAAAACCAGGCAGGAATTGGCGCCAGGTGTGTTTGCCTAAGAAATGAAACCTACCTAGAACTCCTCAGAATTGTTTTAGTGGCATTGTACTATTGAGAAATGCAAGCTGCATTTTAGGGGGGTTCCGGTGTTTCTTTTTTATAACTTTTTAGTGTTTTTGATAGGTCGAAGGGGATCCGGGATACTGCACTAGCGTTGACAGAACTGCCACTCGGTACATGCTGCGCTGGTCTAATTGCAGGGAGAGAGCATGCATTTGGAGATGTTCATATAACAATGCGGTAGCCATCAAGTCTTTTGAAGGAGCATTCCTTCTGAGGTTTGGACCCCACATGACGAAAAATGGTCCAGAGACTTCTTCAGCGCACGTGTTTTGCCGCCTCGATCCGCGCGTGAACTTTGAGCAGCTCCCAGCCCTGCAGCAATTGCATTCGACAATCACAATGCTTGCTGACGTTCTCTACCACAGAAGAGGCGAGAGTGGATCTTGGTGTGCCTGCGCTTCAATGCCTGTCCGGAGCCAAACTCGCTGGTCAACCTTCCTGGAAATGTGAGCGGAGCCCAAGACCAACTCAGTTAACTGCAGCCTACCGGCTTGAAACGAGAAAGGCCGCAATCCCGCTTTTTGCCGGCGGAGAAAAGATGACCCTGCACCGCATGCCGCCAAAGGGTTGCCCAGGCCACCGGCAGCTTGGTGATGAAGGGGTGGCTCAGACCTTGACAAGGACTTGGTTTCCAACATAAGAACTTGGGCTCAGACGCATATAAATAACCATTCTCTTTGTAGGGCCGGCTTTCGAGAAGCAGTTCCAAGCAGCACCATATGACCCTACACCTACTTCAGTGACCAAGTGCAGTCCGGCACCTAGGCATCGAATTGAGTTCATCAAAGGTCCAAGCTGCGAGAGACCAAGTGGATTGGTACTTTAGCATGCTTTAGCAGCATCTTGTTTTTTTCCTTGAAGGATGTGTTGCATTCCTTGAGGTGGCAAGCCTTAAGCTCGCAAGCCATAGCGTCTACAGTAATCTCGTAGCGGAAAAAAGCCTCCTGGGCATCATCGGAAGATATCAGAAGTATTTCCCTGATTGAATCATTAAACTCAAAGGCTTTCTTGAGGTTAGTCTTCGCATGTTTCTCCATGTTTATGCAAAACTCACCGCAATGAAGTGCAAGAGAGTGCAGAGTAACCCATGAGGCTGAAGCTCCCTATCATCAGCTGGGGACCCTGGCAGACTGATCAACACTCCCCGAAAATGAACATAGTCTTACAGTGTCTTCAAGGTCCTATTAACCATATTATCCTCCGCTGTTTGGACGTAGCTGGCACTGAGGGATGGCCAGATTGCAGGCCCATGGGACCTCATAATTATGGTGCTCAGTCACCAGTCTCGACATGAACGGCATCCCTCGAACAGGTACAGTCAAAGGCGGGTGATACTCCTTTGCAGTATTGATCGACCAGATGGTTCAAGCGCCTCACTAGATAGTGATTCCCCAAGAATGGACACAAGCATCCACAGAGCAGGGGAGTCAGCACATGTAGGAACGAAGTATTCTAAAGAGATAGCATCAGGTCAGATCTAGGCCGTCTTCCCTTTAAAAGGTTCAGTGATGCACTTCTTGTTGTGCAGCTTAGCACACGAGAAGCAAATCTGATAGATGTCTCACCCCTTTGGCGGACAGAATCGCACGGCATCCAAACTTCCTAAGGCCTGCCAATGAAATCAAGTATATGGCTGAGAAGTCAGGAGTGCTCAGACTGTGCCGAGTGGTGAGTGCCAACATTGCTCGATGATTCATATCATTCCCTCCCGTCCATTGATTTGAGTCAAAGTAGCTTCCCGCATGAGGCGTGGCATCAATGCCCTTGCAGTAAGGCGCCGGATTTGCTTGGCTGAGGGTTCATGAAGGTCAGGGGTGCCAGCTAGATTGAGGCTCGAGGGAAGAGTGCAAAAGAGGCAGACTTGTGAAACGTAAAAAGCTTGCCTGCAAGAAGGCCTGACTTGCGCCTCGTTGCAGCTGCCCGTGGGAGTTCCCAGTGTCAGCGAAATCTGCCTAGGCCCACCTTGCCCTTTTAAAAACGACTGTTGAATGGCCAATGGCAGTTCATTCTTTGGACAACCCGATATGTTTTTCAAGTCTGGGCGACTTGGAGGCTCAATTCGGCTCAATCCATTGCAAGCGCACTGGGTAGAGGCTTGCTTGAGTCTCAAGTACAGCTTTTCATTACGGCACAAGAACGGCGTGGTGCCAATAGTTGCCACTATATCACTATATATATATATAATCTATTCACATTTATACTTACACTTTGCCCGCCTCGTGTCCTTCTCAATGTCTAAATTGTTCTATCAACCATTAAAACATTTGCCTTCCCCAGGCTGGGATCGCCGTGTTGAGCTCTTTGACGGAAAGACGCTTCGTTGCAGGGTGGTAAGCTGTGGCTTGGTTCAAGGGCCACTGGTGACGCTTCACACGAAGTAGGCAGAAACGAAGAGGTCGTGCATTAAGGCCTTCGAGAGATGACATGCGATCCTGACAAGACAGCCTCTACGGCGGCTCTTTAAGTGGCTCTGGGTGTGTGACGGTGTGCGGTGTGTGTGTGTGTGTCATTTGAATGATGCATCAGCAAGCTGCAACGCTGATGTCGAAGGGTGAGAGCTTTGCTTGAGGGTTCCAGATTTCTGTGGGCACACAAAGTCAAGCCAACTCTAGCCGTTGCTTATCGTTGCTTACTTGGGGCTGGGAACCCGTTCTGTCGACAAACCATCATGAGTTCTCCTCGCAGTGGCCTATAGTGAACTCCAAGAGTTGACATCCTCATCCCAAGGACTGCCAAGTCCCTCAACCGCCTGGTATGTCACGATGACGCAGTCCGTGCTGCCTAGACTTGCCCAGTCAGGTGTCGGCGAGTATAGTTGGAATTCAACACTCTGCTCGACAATGAGTTTTGCAGCGTTTATCCTTCGCAATTTGCATGTAGCTCCAGCCAACGGCTAGATTCAGCTTTGGAACCTTTTGTTGTGCGAGGTGTTTTTAGCTTGTGGCGCCAGGGGAGGTGAGAAACTTTTGAAGAGCTCAGTGTGCTCCGGTAGGGTCTGCTTGATTGAACTGCTTATTATGCAATGCCCATAGGATGCAGGGTCTACTTCATTGGATATGATTGCAGGATATTGCAGGGATGTTTGCCCATGGTCTTCAATGTCAGTGCTTCTAGTGGGCTCCACAGTCTCACCAGCGCTGAGGTGCTTTCTGTTGCATTTGAACGCGAGAAAGGCAGCTTCGCAACTGGTGGAGCCGATGGGCGCATGGGCCCCAATGCGTTTTGATACGTAAGAAGACAAGCGGTGATGGGGCCGTAAAGAGGTGGCAAGAAGGGTACCACTCGTTTCTTGAAAGAGTGTGTTCAGTCAGACAGTGGTGGCACTTCGCTCCTCTCGAGGCATTGCAATTTGGAGCCTCTTCTGTGAAAGCTACTTAGGGTGCCTTGGCTTTGGGTCCGAGAGGTTGAGCGCCTTGAGTTAGTCAAAGCTTTTAGTCTAGTTAACATGCCCAGGATTTTAGCCGCCTCAATTGCATGCAGAAAGAATCCACCAGTGAATTCTTGCGAATACATTCCCATTTTGCCAGGCCCATCCAGTCTCAGGGAGAGGCCATTGGGCTGCCGCAGGGTATCGCAGGGTTTCAAAAAGCAACGCATGAAAACCCCTAAACTGTCTCTAAACATGTTTGGAAGTGTGGTCGACGATGCTTTTGCGTTCCTCGATGTGTTGCGCCAGGGATGAAGCCAACCATAAGCAAGGTCACGGGTGCCACAACGGCCCCGCTGTTTTTGCATGTGTTTTGACATGCGATTTGCACAAAATGCAGGCGGTTTTAAAATGTTTATTGTATGTTGACTTCGTATGTAAATTACCTGACTTTTGTTAAATCGTGAGTCTCGCCTGGGGAATTTGTTCCCCACCCGTAGGACTGTGGGGTTGTTAGATTTTTAGAACTTTGGACTTCAGTACGCCCGGTAGCCCAACTTAGCTCTTCCACAGCACACTGGCCAAAGTGACCCCTGAGTAGCGCAACTTAGCTCTTCCACAGCACACTGGCCAAAGTGATCCCTGAGTAGCGCAA